GGTCTGCAGGGTCTGCCTGGACCTCCTGTGAGTCTCTTTTACAAGTCTTAGTTTTTATAAACAATTTACAGTGGTAATGTAGAGATATTAGATATGCTAACATTTCTGTTGTGTCTCCTCAAAAAAGGGTGCTTCTGGAGACCAGGGTGCTGCTGGATCTGCTGGACCGAGTGGCGCTAAAGTGAGTGTGGTTCTCAGCTAGTTAAATTGAGACAATACACAATTTAGAAACTTCCTTTAATGCTCAGATGGATTTCTAATGTTCTGTTTAACTCCTATTACTTGCAATAGGGACCTGCAGGACCTGTTGGACCAGCTGGTAAGGATGGTTCTAATGGTCAGCCTGGACCTATTGGACCACCTGGACCTCGTGGACGCTCTGGAGAGGCTGGCCCAAGTGTGAGTGCACATAAAACCTGACATATTCACTGACATCAGGTCTATCGACATGAAAAGAACATTTCTGATTCATTTTGTCTTCCTATCTGCTCTCATTAGGGTCCACCTGGTAACCCTGGACCCCCTGGCCCTCCTGGTCCCCCTGGCCCTGGCATTGACATGTCTGCCTTCGCTGGGTTGTCTCAGCTCGAGAAGGGACCCGATCCTCTGCGTTACATGCGTGCCGACGAGGCCTCCAGCTCTCTTAGACAACATGATGTGGAGGTGGACGCCACACTGAAATCAATCAACAGCCAGATCGAGGACATCCGCAGCCCAGATGGCTCCCGCAAGAACCCTGCGCACTCCTGCCGAGACCTGAAACTCTGCCACCCTGAATGGAAGAGCGGTGAGAGATTCAGAGACAATCTAACATTAGAAAATGTTCATTCAAGCACACTTGTGTGTATGATACTCGCTATTACTCACTTAAACGTGTTTGGTCCCTATCCACAGGTGACTACTGGGTGGATCCTAACCTTGGTAGCAGTGCTGATGCCATCAAAGTTTTCTGCAACATGGAGACCGGAGAGACCTGTGTGAAGCCCAGCACTCCCAAAATCCCACGCAAGAACTGGTGGAGCAGCAAGAGCAAGGC